GTGTGCGCGTGATTGTAGAATTAGTGTGTGTAATTGTGAGTGCGTTCTGTGTGTGTATGAGAAGGACCAACTTTAACCCATGAAACGTAACAAATAATATAATAATGTTAGTGTTGAGAAGTCAGCTGGTTTAAGTAAGGATAGGAGGCTCTAAATGCGAGTGTTAGAAGACCATCACTCCCATAACTGTGGACTTAGTCGCTGGTTTCTAGGAAATATACTGTCCCCTGATTTTTTTTTTTCTTCATGTCAGTACTGCCTTTTGAGGTTTATATTTTTAAAGATTTTGAGAATATCATTTGTCACTACAGTAACTCCAACTTTTTTTTTTAGCATCCCCTCTTCATAAATAGAACACTTAGATATCAGACATTAATTGTTATGTACAGAGATTGAAGTATATGCAATTTTTTTTTCTTTCTTTTTTTTTACGGCTTTGTATATTTTTTTTTTGACCAGCGTGGCTTAAACATTCCGCCTTGATTTATTTTCTAATGTTTACCATTGTGTCTTCAGTATACACTCAGAACTCTCTCAGAGAGGACAGGCTTCGTGAGGCGGACGAGGACGGGGATACGTTTGGGAGTGAACATTTTGAATGCTCCGCTTAAACTACAGACAAAAAAAAAACCTGTAAAAGAAAAAAAAAAAAGAAAAGCCGCATGTCCTGTGACCAAGCATGAATTCTATGTGGTTTATCCATTCTAATTTAATTGTGTTTGTCCCTTTCAACCCCATGTTAGAAATAACTTCATGGATGTTTTCTTTTTTTACTAAAATAATTTGAGAAGAAGCCAGTTTTTCTGCACTGGGCAGAGCACAGCTACCTCAAGATGATAAAACGATGATTTTTTTTTGTTGCTCATCTCTAGATTATCTTCCTAAATTTTCTAAAGCGTAACATCCGAGGTGTGCCCTTTATTTGCTTGTGCAGAAAACAAAGGAAATAATTTGCCTTCCCTCTAATATTTTAAGGACATACTTTGTATTGATTTTTGACATTCTTAACTTGATTTGTGTTTTGCTTTGGAGAAGGAACTGAGTGGGAATGACTTTTGTTAAATACGTCTCCATAACGTTTGATTCAAAGGACAGTAATATTAAGAAGTATATAAAAATAAATAAATACTCAAACAGAAAGTACTCCAAATGAACTTGGATTGAACATCCCAAATTGTTGTTTTTTTACTCCAAGGAAAACTACACTCATAAACCCTTTGAATCAAAGTGTTTTCTGTCTTTATTTATTTGAAACCATTTAGACCGACATAACTCATATCCAGTGTTTTATGTATATGCATTTAATACTTGAATACAAATCACTTAAATCTCATGAGTGCTTCTGTACCCTTGGCACAATATGACAGGCAGGAGATATTCACAACACAGCGATCTTGTGTGTATCTGACTTTTCTAGGCTTCAACATTTGAAGGTGTTGGTTTGTGTTGGATCCCACACTGTGTGGAAATGTACAAACATGGGATCAAGGTCTGTATTGTCAACATCACTAATCCTGGACCACCTAAGCGTTGTTTTCTAAGGGAAAAAAAAAATCCACATAGGGGAAAAAACACTCGTCTGAAGCATGCATTTTTGGGTTGAAGCCTGCTCTGTTCCCACTGTGTGTGTGTTTGTGTTCCACTTAAAAACTGTGTGCTTTTCTTCCTCAATGCCGCCATTGGCTTCCCTGTCACTAGAGTGAGTATCTATTTGCTTTTTGTTTTTTTTCTTCCACTCGCAGGTCACTACTGTAGAGCCTGATGAAAAGATCACCGACTTACTTTCAGAACACACTTGTAGAGAGATTTTCATGTGGCCTACATCATTTTACTTTGTATTACTTGAAGAAGTAGATTGGAAAGCCTTAGCCCTTTCACACTGTACAAGAAAATGTGCTTTTAATTCTTCAAATAAAAGTAATACATTACCAAATGCATTTAACCACTAATCAATACGATTAATAATTAAGAATGAAAAAAGGTAGTGAAATAGTATAGTCTTAACTGTCAATGATGTTGCACATTAAATGCCCATCACACATTTTACCCATTATAGTAAGTTTAAAAACTAAATCTAGTAACTTGTAGACATAGAAGTCCATGAAAGGAGTTCCTGAAATGTAAACACTCACATTTAAGGGAGGGATTAAGGCTTGCAGTTTGTCAATTTAAAAATATATGAGGTGCATATCTTGACCACATGCCACGATTTTGAATGTCACTGTGTGCTGTCTCTTTCACACACGCCCCTCCTCCCTCCCCCTCAGAACACTTGCTTACACTCACAAAGCCTACACATGTTGTAGTGTCAGTAAAAGTACAATAATTCCATGTAAATTGGTCACAAAATTCATTATTATTAGTATTCTTGCACTAATGTACTTCTCTCTTTTCTTTTTAGGTTGGCTCTCATAAAAAAATAAAATAAAAAAAAAGCTAAATTACTGAGTGGGCTCAGAGGCTGGCTGGACTTGCCGTACCGTCCAGCATGCGTGCTCATTCTGAACTTCACACACCTCAGACAACATGATGACCAGCAGTATGTGTGTACCGTTGCACAAATGGGAAAAAAAGGACAAAAGTCCATAGTATGAAAGACCAAATCATAAGGGTGCAGTTAGGCTTTAAACATCTTAGCTCATTGCATCACAACCACACACACACACATTTCTTAACACACTTATACCTCTGTGTGCAGATTCAATATCAACATGACTCCATTCCAGTTTTATTTGCAGGGAAGTTCTTAACACCCTCGATGTACCTGCTTGCATGAAGAACTTGTTTCCAACCCTCTGTTAGCTTTGTCACATAGAATCTTAGGAACACGGGGTTGAATGATCTTAGCTGTACATCAGTGCACAAACACATCCATGCATGCGTTTCAGCTGTACGTAGGCTTTGCAATTTGTATTTATAGATTCTAATGTATTATACTCAAATGACATATTAAGATGGTTTTAAGATGGATTTATTGCAGATATGAAAAAAAAATCACTGTTTTTATTGTAATAGTTTGGGGTAAAATGCACAATAATACACATGGGGAAATGACGATGTGAACTTGACAGTGCTCTGCTAATTTTCTTTTTCTATTTGATTCTTTTTTTAAATTATTTTGTTACTTTTTTTTTTGTCTCCTCTTGAGCTCCTGTACGCTGATCACTGATCCACTTAGGTTCTGATACTTTGCAATGAGGACAATGGACTTTACCTTTGATTCAGTGGTAATCCTGCAATACAACAGTGTTCCCCTGTTTTCTTATTATCTTTGCATTATTAATACGACCATATATCCTTTTCAACTGCTGTAAAACTGTGATCTAATGTGAGGGGGCCTCTGCTGTCCCCTCAGCGACACCTGGTCGAAGAACAATATTTACCATGTGTAAAAAGTCGATCATTATTGATAACTGATAATGGTTGTACATTGCATTATTGAGGTTGTGGTTTCAGGTAAATAAAACATTATAGTATTTAAATTGTCATTTTCTTGTCATTTTTTTTTTAAACTCCCGGTAACACAATTATACACCTACAACTATTTATAAGATCAAATAAAGCCCACACATCCTGAGATTTGGTTTCAAAGAGGTACAATTCAAAATTGAGCAGTGTTTTACTTTTCCTAAAAACAATTCCACATATCACCACCAGGTGTCAGTGTTGGGTTAAAGATATCAAAATCACTGCCACATGTTCTGCAACACCTGCTCGACAGGTACAGCCAGCACCTTTTTTTCAAGAAACCCAGAAGGCACGTCTTGACAAACCCGTTTTTTGATCACCAACTATTGTCATTTTAGGCTTTCTGAATATGAAAGGACACGCTCAAAAGTTGAGATGGGTTTGCAGCTGCAGCAAATCATGCGACCCAAGTAAAACAAAAAAGGAAACGGAGAAATGTGTTCGGATTTACGTGCCTACGCTGCTAAATGCAAAACACCCCTTTTATTTTTAAGTCAAATGTACGAAAAGAAGTTTGAACAGTTACATTTCAAAGCAGGAATCAGTGGCTGCATCCCGGCTCTGTCTCTTTAACCAGCAGGATCACTGCCTCTCTGGTCCCTCCCATTCTCAGCCCCCTCTCCAGTGTTTGCTGGCCTGAGATGGGAGCACACACAGCAGCACCATCTCGACCGGAGAAACGGGATAAACCTCGGGGGGGGAAAAAAAAAAAAGATTAGAATTAAACGAAAAAAATACCTCGTCCAAGCTGTGGCATTAAAAAAAAATAAAAAAAAATGGGATAATGGGACGATTCGTTTACTGCAACCGGGACGTAGTTGCAGCTTAATCGCGTCCTCGAGAGAAAGTCAGATGTTGTCGATGTTGTGTTTAGCGCTTTTTATCCATTCTCCTTGAGCGCTGCTGGTACAAAGGCGCTCAGGCTGGAGCAGCAGCAGCAGCAGCAGCAGCAGCAGCCGGGATTACTGCCGTATGAATGGGCGAGAGTGAACAAGACCCACTGTCACTAACAAACGCGGAACGGTAAACAAACACAGTGAGTGAATCTAGAAGGATTTAATCACTTTCTCTTTTTTTTTTTTTTTCTCTCTCTCTCTTTCCCTGGGAGCCCGTGTCATCCCGCGAGGACAGATGCTGTCATTGTGTCGAGGCTGAGATTTTAAAAGGGAAAAAAACAAAAAAAAAAACAGTCTACGTCTGAAAGTGGCCTTTTCTGGAATAATGCACGAGAAAGACGGGCTTTCTTCCAGCTTTTTGTTGCTTTTTATGCCTCACACATTCCCTCTGACTGAACGGCCCGGTTCTCTTGTTCAGAATGGGATGCATTGTTGCATCTGCGCAGCCCACGACAAGTGTCAGCAATTAGGCTGTATGTTTCTGAACGGCTTGCCTAAAGGATTGTTATAAAGCGTGCCGCTGATTTTCTGACTGTAGGTTGCCATTGTTGTGCTTAATTCTTAAAGTGGACTTAAAAGGTGCCCTTTTGGCATCATTCATCCAGCCCGAGTGAATAAGGGTACGCCAGGCACAATATGGTGGAGCCGGTGGGTTTCATTGAAGCGTGGAAGGCACAGTTTCCAGAGTCAGAGCCCCCAAAGATGGAGCTGCGGTCTGTTGGAGGAATTGAGCAGGAGCTGGAGAGGTGCAAGGCGTCCATCAGGCGCCTGGAGCAGGAGGTGAACAAGGAGCGCTTTCGCATGATCTACCTGCAGACTCTCCTGGCGAAGGAGAGGAAGAGCTATGACAAGCAGCGATGGGGCTTCAGGAAGACCCCCCTGAACGAGGGGGTGGACTCTGCGTCCACACAGGGAGCGGAGTGCCAATCCCAGCAGCCACACATGCAGGAGACCGGTGGCGTTGGAGTTGTAGTAGGAGGTGGAGGGTATGGCGCTGGGAGTGGAAGTATTGGGGATAGGAGCCGGTATCAGCCTCTAGGAGAAGGAGCTGGTAGGTCCAAACCCAGACCTCCACCAGCCAGGAAGTCAGCTTCCCATGGAGACGGCCTGGAGTCCGCTTTTGAGGTTCCCCAGCAGGTTGAGTCGACCTCTTGCGACAACCTTGATGGCCTCTCGCCGTCCAAGCAGCGAAGCGGCATCACCGTTTCCCCCCGCAGGCCAAACCTTCCGCCCCCGGATAAGGAGCTGCTCTCTGACCCCAAAGACAAGCTGGGGATGGGACTTGGGGTGGCAGCACTGCGGTCCAACTTTGAGAGGATCAAGCGGGCCAACTCTCACTCTGCAGGCGATGCAGCGAAGGGCCAAGAGAAGCAGCAGCAGCTGCCGCCTCCGCCGCCGCCGTTCTACACCAACATGGAGTTTCACCACGACAGGGGTCTGGTCAGGGTCAACGACCGTGATGTCTCCGACAAGATCAGCACCCTGGGCAGCCAGGCCATGCAGATGGAGCGAAAAAGATCCCTTCACTCACTCCCAGGTAACCTAGCAACAGTAGCAGGGGAGCTCCGTGCTCGACCAGTGTACAGGGGTCGTTCCACCGAGAGCACCTGCGGGTATGATGCTGAATATGAAGATGGGGAGCCCAACCAGCGACATTCAGGGAGGGCCAATGGGGGCAAACCTCCCCCCCCTCCTTGGCAGCCCTCTGAGTTCCAAGCCTACTCCAGCGTCTATGTCGGTGGGGTGATGATGGGAGAAGGTGGCGGAGGAGATGGGAGAGGTAGTGGTGGAGGGGGTGGTGGAGTCACAATGAGGGACCTTGGGGGAGGTGATGACCACCTGTTGACCTGGCCACGCCGTTCCTACTCCCCAGGCAGCTTTGAGGATGTTGGTGGCGGCGGTGGCTACACGCCGGACTGCAGCTCCAACGAAAACCTCACGTCCAGCGAGGAGGACTTCTCCTCAGGCCAGTCCAGCCACGTCTCGCCAAGTCCCACCACTGCCTTCCGTCGTCCCTTCAGGGAGAAGAGTCGCTCGCCGTCCCAGAATTCCCAGAACTCCCAGCACTCCTTCGACAGCAGCAGCCCTCCGACCCCTCAGTCCCAGAAGCGTCACCACCGGCAGCAGGGAGGCCACGTGGTCATGTCTGAGGCTACGATTGTGAGTGTTCGCAAGACTGGGCAAATCTGGCCACCTGCTGCCCACCATGACCTGATGCCACATGGCAGAACGTCCCACGACAACAGTTACCATGGAGACCATCTAGGTGAGTGTTGTCTGCTCTCAAATATTTGTTGTGGTGGAGAGTAGGTGGACCTTTCAGATTCACAAAGAAACATGATAAGCCTGGCTGTGCTCGGAAGACAGACAAAAAGAATGGATGCCAGAGTGAATGAGTGTAATTTAGTCATGCTGGAATTATGTTACGCCAACTCATTTACATTTCAAGCCCCCTTTCCTCCTAATATTCCTTTCCTCTTAAAACCCCCAAAGCGTCCAGATGTTCACATGATTGATAATGTGTGTGTGTGTGTGTGTGTGTGTGTGTGTGTGTGCGTGCGCGCCAACACTCAAGACTGAGCGTCCTTTGCGTGGCCTTGTGTGGGAGACGGATGAAAGATCCACCTCTGCTTATGCCTGGAATGTCAGCCGGGTGGGTGAACAATAAATGCGGTCAGCCTGGGTTGAAACTGCAGGCCTAGTCTTACTCAGACGGCTCCTCTGGCTCTGAGTACAGAATTCCAATCACAGGTGTCCATCTGTCTGCCTGCCTTTCTCTCTTTCTGCATGACTCGAAGACATTTCCGTCTAGCGCAGACCGGGACACAAGAAATCCACTCGCATCTTGACAACGCATTATCTTCAGTATTCCTAACCGCTAAATTGCAGCCTTGGAGCCATGGCACCTGTAATAGAGCAGCAGCTATAGCAGATAGATGTGCAGCCTGGAGCTAAAGACACAGGCACTGACTAACCGATTCGAGCCCAACAACAGAGGAGTGTTGTACTCATAGAAGCACATTAGCAGGGCTTAGTTTGCTGTCATTCCTCTGTAAAGTTTCCATTGCAGAGGCTGTGCCAGCTCACAATTACTGCTTTGGTAGTTCAAATATTTGTGTCATTTTTAGACTTCAAGTGCTGTTTACAAAGAGGCAAGTAATCTGTGGTTCTTCACATTTTGTATGTTGTCTCTCTTTGGTTTTCTACTGTTGAAGTGAGGGAGCGTGTTTGGCGCCAATATATTGTCACAGATTTGGGACCAGTGCCTGGCCGGACCAGACGGGCAGTAGGGTGCAGGCACCCCGTGCCAGGATGGGCTGTAAGGAGGGGAAGAGGAAAGGAAGGAGAGGATTCAAGCATTGTTAAGTCTTGATATCGTCACTATTTTGTTGTCGTTATAAAGTGATCCAGAACTAAAGACATGCCTGTCATCATTCTAGTGGCATTTCTTTTGTAGAAACCAGATACGTCTCTCCTCTCGCTGCCTAAATATCCTGAATGGAAAACCAGTCTCTGCGCATCTATAATTCATATATTTCAACAGATGCATTGGCCCTGGTGGAAAAAAAAAACTCAAATGTTTTTACAGACAGAATACGGCCATTAGAGAGAGTGCAGGATCGCCTTTTGTCCGTAACCATCACAGATATATTTTCAGTGAAGTCAAATGACAAGAAACGTTTCGTCATAACACTTAACATAAAGACATTACTCTTTGTAACATTAACATAAGACTCGACATCGAGCGGCTCATGAGAAAGCCCTACGCAGCGGCAAGGAATCTGTTGCATTCTGTTGCAACCGGGGACGAGAAAGTTGGGACAGAGGGAGAGGCAGAAAGACACCATCCATTTTAATCACCATACCCTCCCTGACGACATGTAACAGGCAAACATCATTAACAATGAAGTACAACGCTAACATGCCCCTCTCCAACAGCAATTAAGATTGTGCATAGTTAGCAGCGAAAGCCAAATAGCGGGTCCTCAGCAAATGGCTAGCTAATTCCCCAGCTGTTATGTTTAGGATTATGGCTGCACTGTCTGCTCTCTTTTGTTTTAAAAAAAAAATCTTGCCCTCAACAATGAGCCCTGTGGGGCAGGGGACGGAGATGGAGAGTGGGGGGGGGGGGATGTGTCGCAGACAGAGATGCATTTAGTGGGATAATCTGGAATTTGAGCATAAGAAGTGAAACGTTGGTTGGACACCCTGCAGAGTGCTCTTGTTGTCTAGTAGGGGTTTAAGCTGAGGGCAGATAGGCGTGATGTGGACAGTGAAGGTGATGACAAATGAAACATTGCATCATTCTGGTGGCCCTGGGTGTGTAAAGTTTTAACCAACCAAAACAAAAAAAGCAGGATATGAAAGTTGAGAGTGTGTTTTTTTTTAGTGGGCGTGCGATGGTAATAATGAAGAGTGGGATGGTGTTGTGAGGAAGACTAAGGGAGGCAGAGTGCAAGGCAGAGCTGTCGTTTCTCGCTTCATTGGTCAGGGATGCGGGGGCTGCAGAGAGGCACAGATGGGAAGAACTCTCCCGTTGCGTAACAGAAACACACAGACTCCGGCTCACACACAAAGACACACACACACACACGGTATGATGTTTACTCCGTTACCTTGAGGATGCTTTGCCTTTCGGGCAATAGGTGCACACATATGCTTGAGATAATGGTCTAACTGGAGGAAGGATGTTTCATGCCAGTGGTTGACCCCGAGTCTGGAGGAGTCACACCGTCTGCCAGAGAGCTGTCCTGATCTATAGTGACTTCTTCTTCTCTTTTTCTTCCTTCTTTTTTTTGTGTGTCTTCTCTGCGTGCCAGCCACAGTAGTTAATGTTTCCATGTTGTGTTTTGTTTATTTAATGCAGGGGGGGTGCTTTTCAAAATGAGAAGTTCACATGCTGAGCAGAGATGAGCAGGATTTTTTATTTATTTTTTTATTTTATGACTGCGACAGAAAACAGATCAGCAACATGAGCGAAAGATCAGAATAAAGAAATCTCTCTGAGTGTCATTCAGTGTCACTAGGCTCGTAAAAAACAAAAAAAAAATCAAATGTGTGGAAGCACAACCATCAGCTGCCAGCTTTTTATTTTTTAACTCAGCTTTCCAAACATGAATGCGGCAATGTTGCATCAAGTATTTGATCATTTGTACCCAGTTCGATGACTGACAAGTCTCTTTCACATCACTGTGACTCGTTTTTTTTTTTTTCATCGCATGCTGCAAGCAAAAGCAAAAGCAAAAGCACGGCGAATCTCCTTAAGAGAGAACATGAAGATTGATTTCTGAAGGAGGCAGAAGTGTATTTTGTGAGCTGAAAGGTTGCAGAAGAAGAAAATGTGTTGGAAAAAATAGGATTGTACTGAAAAGTGGGGATACATGTCAGATCTTTGAATTCAAATCCAAACCCACAAACATTGCCTGGTGAATTTTTAATGACATCATTGGAGAAAAGGAGCTTTCAGACCTTTCTGAAATGAAATGGGTGGTTCCCAAAAAAAAATGGCTTGTTTCTTCCTATGCTGTTTCCAGAAGGGAACTCTGCCTCTAAACCAGGGGAATACCTGTGGCTTTGTGTCTGTGAGGGCAGGAATGCCAAAGCAGGACAGACCTTTAAAAGCCTCAATGGTTTTATTGTCCGAAAACCTCCACCTCCCTCAGCTGGGTCCTGTCAGCACTGATATTTTTAGGCAATAACAAACTCTTGCTTTCTTTCTGCAATTTCTCTGGTTGAAGGTTATTTATGACTACGGCTGAAGTGTGGTTTTTACATTTTATGTCATTTTAATCCTCACTAAACTTGCTCTGGACTAGAGTTGTTGATTGATTCAAAATCCTTGTAAGCGTACTTCATCGCGGGGTCAGGGTCATAACTGAGCTAACGTTGGTGTTTAGATCGGTACACCTCTCTGTGTAGAGTTTTCATAAGTGGCTATTAATTACAAAATCCAATATATAACAGTGTTGACAGTTCATTTTGAAGGTTGTTTTATAACTCATTTAAAAATCAATGTTAACTTTTGTATATGCGTTTTGAAATGCAGAAATCATCACAGATGAAATCCTGTTCCATCTGCAAATGTCAACAAATAAGATATTTGGAATAAGTAACCTTAATAAGTAAAAATCTATTTTGTGTAAACTGAGCGGCTGAGTCTTTTGAGGAGAGAAAAGTTCACGTTGTGTGTCACGCTTTTAATTATAAGACTTAAGATTTAAAGTAGGGATGGATAATAGAAGAAAATTGAGGCAAATTTAGCCGTTAGCTCTCCAACACATGAACATTTTCTGAGGAGCAAAAGAGATCATTTATCTCACACTAGATAAAATGTTAATTTAATAATACTGTAAGCTCATTAAATACTACAAATATAACACAACATTGACCTCAATTGACAAAAAGGTATTTTAAAGTAGCTATATGTAACCCTGACACGACATAAGACATTGGAGACGGCTGTACCTTCCTCCTGAGAGTTGCCATAACCTCTCTCCATTTTTTCTCCATCATTAATCCTTGTTTTACCACGTTTCTGGTGGTGGAGCTTGTTAGAAAATGCAGAGTCTTTCAGAGTCTGTGTTCGCCCCCGCTGCAGCACATGTCCGTTGATGTCCGTGACAACTCTTCTCATATCCGGCAAACCGAGGGGGCGTCCAAAACGGCCATGTAGGGGATTCCCAGAATTTGAAACTTAGAAAGAGGACATACTGGCTGCTGCATTATTATCAGAGAAGCCAGCATATCATCGATGTCTGATGATAAAGGCCATTTTATGATTTAATTCGGCACATATCTGACATATTGCTCCTTTTTAATGATATTTTGCTGAATCACCTTATGAGCTAACTTTAGCTTGGTTGGCATTAATTAGCAGTTAAACTAATTTACACATCATTGCTATGTATTGGTATATTCTTGACATATATTCCTCTATATACTTAAAAAAAGGTATTTTACAGCTAATAGAACTTAGCATTTTTTTCACATTACTAACACCTCGACTAAAGAACTTTGCTAATGTTGTATCTGACTGTTGTATCTGTATCTGAAAGCACTTTGAATTGCCTTGTTGTTGAAATGTGCTATATGAATAAACTTGCTGTGCCTGATGTAGCTAACAAGCAAGTTAATAATGACTTTAGACCTTTTGTCTGGACATGACACATCCGGTGTAATGGTTACTTAAGTAGTTCATCTCTCAGAAGAATTTCTATTTTAATCTTATTCAGCTCTGTAAACTCATTTATACACATTTCCGCCTGC